AATTTGACGCCAATCCTTATACATACTATCCCATAATTATAATTACCTTAATTTTACATCGGAAAATATGTTGTTTTTCAATTTATGAAATAGATGTACAAGCATTTGAATAATTAATTTGTAAATATGAATGAGGATGAAGGAAAAAATTTTTTATGAAAGTTCATTTGAATTTGAAAAATTTTATTGCTATTTATAAGTCAAATTCACAAATTGTTTAGATGCATACATAAGCAGAGAAATAAAAAAACAGACTCTGACAATAAAAAAGCTTTAGTAAGACAAAATATCATGCATTTAAACATGAAATAAGCTTTCGATTAATAAACAATTGTTCTTAAGATTTGTTTATTATAAATAGCTCATCCAATTTAGAGTTTATTTACCTTCAACTTCACAAATAAAAAAGAATTTGTTTGAAACTTCGACACCATATTATTATTTTATTTTGAATAAACTAATTGATTGTCAATTATTTAAATATAATTTATATATTAAAAAATATTTCTAATGAATATGATTTATTTTAAAGTTGATGGTAAGCAAATAAAATTAAGGTTTTAATAAATGTTATTCGAACACAAATAATTTGCATATAAAATGAAATATTGAGATATCATGAAAAATTACAAGAAAGTAAATTATACGCCCGTACTTATTATTTAGCTTTAAGAATTAATAATGTATGTGTACCATTAACATAGATATAACGAAAATACAAAAAACATTAAGTAAATGTTATATCTATGGATCAAAGATATTAGGAAACATACAAGAATTAACATAAATCGCAATAAATTTTAATTGCAAGAAAATCACTAAAAATAAGAAAAGACTATTAATTAGAGGTTTAATTTTGTTAATTTGTAGAAAAAGTGCTATAATTTGAATTAATATTTCTAAAACTTGAATAAAAAAACATCAGAAAATAAGTAAAAAATAGAAATTTATAAATAATAAGTTAAATTTATCTGATTTTTTGAGATTTAATATAGGAATTGGAAGTTTTAGAAGAAGCTATCAAATATTAGGTTGTTGGAGGAAAATACTATTTAATAAAAGGTATAGTCTTAAGTAATTTAAACAAAGCATAAGCCTTAAAGAATTTGAATAGATTTAAAGAAGCTTTAATTATATATGATAATTCAATTTAAATATATTCTAATAATTCAAGATTATATGCAGGAAAAGGTTTGAATAATAATAAGGATTTCAACAAAGACGTTAATAATATAAAATTTTAACTTATTAAAAGTATGATGCTTCCTTAATAAGCCCTTGATAACGATGAAAAAGTAAACAA